GCTCCAAGGTTGAGAAGCAAGCACAGCGTCTTCACTTGTCTCTCTGTTCCATGTGCCATCTCCAGGTCTCCTTCTTCTGCATCCTTCTTTCCTTCTCCCAGTCTCCTCTTCAGCTTTTCCTCTCTGCTCTCTTCCACCCTTCCTTGGTTGAAACAGGGATACTAAACCTTCCCTTTCTCTGGGGACCACCTTGTTACACTCCCAATAGATTTTTATAATTTTCTTTAATTTTAACATTCACTAAAGCAGACACATATAATAAAGGTATTAAAAAGGAAATACTTCAAGATTTATAGGAAAGATAGGTAGATAAGGAGAGACAGACAAGAAGATTTTATTTCATTTTATAAATCCTTTTCTTGCAGCCCCCACTCATTGCCCAGCAGACAGGTTTGGGAAATTTGAATAGATAAGGGAATTGACAAGACTTCCAAGGGAACCAGGCCCAGAGACCTGATCACTTCCTCCATGAATGGGGAAGGAGAGCCAGGACACATTCTGTGTCAAAGATCAATGCCTAAGGCTAGACATTCCAGCAAATAACTCGCCCAAGTTGGCACCTGAAGTAAGGAAGAAGGTGAAAATAGAATGTTAAAGAGGGCTTCTAATCCTTTTTCTTGTGCAGATCTCTCCTGTCTCTTAGAAGTGCTTCTCTTAGAAGTGTATTTCAACAAATCCACCTTTTCTGTTTTTTCCTGTCTCTGGTGAATTTTTTCATCCCTGTGCCTTCAGCCTCACCCCAATATTTCTTGCAAGTACAGAAACCTCAAGGGTATCACCTAAATAGACTTTCAAGATTATATTTCTAAAGATCAAAGACTAAAGTAGTAATTTCATTGTCACCTGATCCTCAAATAAGTTTTGATTGTGATGAATTATGACATAAACCGTTGACATAAAGCACCTTCTATGTTACAGAGGCAGTTGGTTAAAATAATGGTTACCTTTATAATCACAGTAGTGAGTTGTCTTAAACATATTTTTATTTTCATACCTATAGAGGAGTACAACTTGGATATACCATCGAAATGAAATTTATGAAAGAGATTAATTGTATTTTTATAGAATGTGTGGACCTGTGGAATATCCATGGCAAGAGTGGTAACTGTTAGATCTTTGTAATATGCATGCCTGTGAATGTATTTAATTTTAGTACAGTTAGATAAATAAGTATGCATCAAGTTAGTAAAGTACCTTGTTTTCAAATGAGGTTTGGAGCACTATTACAATTTGGTTCATTGTGAGATACATGATGATATCCTATGCTTTGAAACAGAAGTAGCTAAAGCAAGTATCTTGCATAAGGTTGCCACACAGAAGACAAAGGTTGGCCCTGTCCCAAAAGAATAGCCACTCTTTGGGTTTACAAAACTGCTCATTCTATTTTCAACCCTCTTTATTTCTTGGCATTCTTGAGCTTTTGAGATACTAAGTTTTTTTCTTTCAGGATGTAATACATTTTCACCAAATTTCTGCTTGTATCTCACCCTGACATTTGTGCATCCTGAGGTGAGAAGAAATACCTCTGAACAGCAGCAACAGTAAAATCTAAAATAAGGTGGCAGCCGAATCAAAACATGAACCTGTACAAAAAATGCACTTTTTCCTCATTCACTTCTCCTTTGGGTAAACTTCCTTTGAAATGGCCATCTTAGTGAAGAAATATTAAAAAGCATGTTTCAAAGTGAAAAGCACAAGGCTGAGGTGAGGGAATACATGAAAGCATAATTTATATTTAGTCAGAAGATCTACCAGTACTTTAAAACAATCTGTGTTTAACATGGCAAATTGTCTGTCATAAAAATGCTAATGAAATGGTAAACAGTTGCTAAGTTTTTATGCTAATTAATGGTGGCAACTAAGTAGTTCCCAACCCTTATCTTTATTAGCATAAATATTTGATTGGGTAAGGGAGGATCATTGGGTATTCTGACCTTTGTTGATGGAGCAATATATTTTCCAAGTTGCATGCTGCATTCTATTTGCCTTGAGTTTGTTAGTACAAAGTGACTCACCAGGCTCATAGGGGGCCATATATTACATGGTGTTACCAGAGTCACTGTTAGTAGGTTTCGGAAAAAAATTTTTTCCTTCCCTTTGGGAGATCCATCATTGTTCACCAGGAAGTTTTAAAGAAAATATTAAGGTATACATTTTATGTTTTTTAGCAGCTATAATAATTATAATTCATAAAAATCATTGCTTTGGCCCTCCATGGTGGCGCAGCTGGTTAAAGCACAGCACAAAGAAGCTTAAGCCACTTCTGCATGAGTTCTATCCCCGCCTGCCCCGGAGGCAACCACATGGCGTGGCAGACCTCTCCTGACCCACCCGCTGCTCCCCTCAGCAATGTACTTCGCAGACCTGCCTGTTCTGTACTCCACTCTGTCTCTAGTGAATCCTCTCACCTCCGCATCTCTGGCCTGTACCCCAGTTCTGTACGAATAAATAAATTTAAAAAAAAATCATTGCTTTAATATAAGAAATACCTGTTTTGCAATTTAGCTAAGATTTTAAAGCAATGTTTTTTAAATAAATATTTTAATAAGTACCTCTGTAACATTTTGTCATACTGATATATGTAATATGCTATCTTGAATCTATAAACGCTGAAGTTAGCAATGAATGTTACCTAACTAGAGGAAACATGGAATTAAAAAAAGAGTGGTTATGTGAATGCCAGGTTGTGTTCAGAGGAGCATCATTATTTACTTGGGCATCAGTAAAACAATACTGTTTGCTCTCTTCTTTTGACTCATACTCTTTTTACTGAACCAAATTCTATTCATTGATAAATGGAATTGATATAAAGACTCCCTACTATAGATAAATGTTATATAGATGGTTCTATCATCCTTTTTTCTGTTTTTAGAATCAATGTAAATGGGGTTGACAGTCCCTTGGACATTATTGCTAATAATGTTCTACAATGATTTAACATATGATACAGATTTTATTAAGGAAATACATAACAAAAATTCATTGAAATAAAGATTTTTAATTATTCTGGAACACTGTAAGAACATTGGTAGATATTTTAATGGAGCATTTTCTCATGTCCATTTTTCCTTGAAATCAGTAGGGGCTTTTGGGCATATAATTATATGTGGTGGTTCTATATGGACATGCCAGGAGAAATTGGAACATTCATACACTGCTAGTGGAAATGTAGACTAGTTCAGCTGTTTGGAAAACATTCTGGAAGTTCTCAAAAGGATCAATTATATGATTACCATGTGACACAACAATCCCCAGTTCAGTACTTAGATATGTACCTAAAAGAACTAAAAATTAGATACATAAAAACTTATAAACAAATGTTATTAGCAGCATTATTTATAATAGATTCAAAGGGGAAACAACCCAAAAAGGGCCTATCAGTTAATGAATGAATATACAAAATGTGGTACATTCATATAATGAAAATATTATTCACCCTTAAAAAAAGAATGAAATTCTGGGACCCTCCCTGGTGGCACAGCAGGTGAAAGCACAGCACCAAGAAGCTAAAGCCACTTCAGCATAAGTTCAATCCTTTCCCCGGAGGTGGCCCACATGGCGTGGCAGACCTTTCCTAACCTGCCCGCTGCTCCCCTCAGCAGTGTACTTACTTCATCAGTCTGCCTATTCTGCCCCCTGCTCTGTCTCTGGCAAATCCTCTCATTGCCTCTGCACCTCTGGCTTGTACCCCAATTCTGTATGCATAAATAAATAAATCCTAAAAAATAATGATCAAATTCTGCTACATGCAGCAACAGGAGTGAACCTTGCAAACATTATACCAGATGAAAGGAAATATTCACAAAAAAACTCAAATGATTCCATTTAAGTGAAATATCCAGAATAGAGTGCTCTATACAGAAAGAATAAATTATTGGTTTCCAAGACCTGAGGGCTTTAGGAGAAAATGCAGAAAGACTGCTAAAATGGATATGGCGTGTCTTTAGGGATCATGAAAATGTTCTAAAGTTAATGTAGTGACAGTTCCACAAGTCTTTGAATGTGCTAAAAAAAAAAAAATTGAGTTGTACACTTGAATACAGTGGGAGAATTGTCTGTTGTGTGAATTTTATTTCAATAAAGCTGTTATACATATATATATTAAAAGTCACACCAGAGCCTGTCTCCAGGTGAGCCATCTACAACAGCAGTTACTTATCTGCAGGCTCTGGAGGCTACAGATTGAAAAAGAATGCTTATTGTTCTGCTTTAAATCTCCTACCAGTGCTAAAACAGATACCTAAAGAGATTTTTACAAGGAAGAATTGCTAATGTAACATAAAACTCAAGAAATAACAAGTTGAAGGCCAAAGTCTGAGCTCCTGTCCTGACTCCTCCCTGTTCCCCAATACCTTGCCCTTACCCAGACCATAATCACTCCCTGTAGATTTTCTTTACATTTAGATGTTTAGATGTCTAATATCTAGACAACCTATTTTTCTCACAGTGAGATCAAATTTCCATTTTTTTTTTTTTTTTTTTTTTAGAGGACAAATGTTGAGTCCTAACATTCTGGGGAACAGACAATAACTATAAGAGACCAAGGTCTCTTCCTCTTATAAAGACCCAATAATTATTTCTAATTTGTGTGAAACAAGTCTTCTAGCCATTCTGTTAATCTGAATAGTAAAAAGCATGCAGTTTCAAGAGGTTCCTCCCCTCCTCCTACATATTAATCAAAGGCAATGATCAAGCGCCAGGCTATTCTCATTCTTTCTCACTTGCCAGCAAGACTCTGGGCACTCTGTATCTCAGCTGAGTGAGATCCGTCTTTGGTCCTTACCATGCAGACACATTCTGAATCACAGTCTTAGAAAATGAGCAAGATTACTCCCTTTGAGCTTGGTTTCTTCCTCCTGTGCCATTCACTTACTTCCAGGACAACTTTCTTTCTTGCAGGTTGCCACTCAGCACTTTTATTTTTGTACTGTAGGTTGGAGAGAGATGTGGATGTGACTGAGCGATTGAATTCATTTTTGTTTTGTTTTGGGCAGGCAGTACATGCCACACTACTACCCTTCCTGCTCTCGTGCGCACACCTACCCTGATGATGCAACCTTCACTGGATATTAAACCATTCATGTCTTTTCCAATGGACAGCAGTTCTGCTGTTGGGCTCTTTCCAAATTTTAACACAGTAAGTAAATGCATTTTTCTTTGAATTGTGCCCTCTTTAATTTTTTTCTTTTATTAAAGTTGTGAACAGGTGGAAGATGTAACCACTTTCTAAACTGTATACTTTTAGACCACATATTGGTTATACTAAGTGGTGTTATGAGTGATAGTGATTCCCCCACGAGAGTTAGTCCAAACAATAGCCAGCATGTTTATTTTATAAGTATTTCCATCGTTAACATTGCACCTGCTGCTCTGTATGATATTGATAGACTTTTCATCGGCCTGAGAACTCATATCACTTTTGGAATGCTGTTCACATGCTCAGTAACACAGTTTAGAAATATCAAACCACATTGATTTTTCCTTACTACTTGAAGAGGAAAAGTGAATACTTTATCTCCCTCGGTACATTTTTATTTGGGAGATATTTTAGACTCTTACACAAAGAGAATTTTTATTTGCATCTTTTGTGGATTCTGGGATTCTGAGTTTATTAGTAAAAAAAAATCTTTGTTTTTTTGTATTAATTGTTTGCATAATACCTTGACACATGATATATATAACATGATAAATATTAGTGAATTCTGACAATTACCAGTATTTTTTATTCAAGTCAACTTGCTTTACTTTATCTGACTGAAGAAAAACACTTTGTAGGTGTGCCTAGTAGAGCATGGCATTTTTCTCAAAAATAGAAGTCACCATAAAATCACTTCATAGCCAGAATCTAAATGTATGGTATGAGAAAAGGTCAAGTGATGGCATGAATTATGTCTGTTCAATCAATAAATTCATTCAGATGGGGCATGATAGTCAACATAAGTGACACAGCATTGTAGAAAATGCCATAATTAAGAAAATTTGCATTATCAATACTTTCAGACAACCAGCATCTGAAGTGCCTTCAGATGTTTTCTTTTGCAAACTTAACTTCAGTAAGAAGTGAAAACAGCAAGAGGATTTTTCCTCAAGGCTTGTAAATAAAATCTGCTGACAGGCCTTCTGTCATGGCTTAGCATTGTGTGATAGATAGAGGTTAAGGGACCAGCCAGCTACTTAAAGAACATCAACCTGAACTTAGCAAGTAAGAAGTTGAATATATTTGTCTTCTTTGGAATTTTTAGAGGCAAGTCAGGCAGTTAAAAAAAAAAAAAAGAAAAGAAAGTTGAGTATAATTTCTAGTGCAGTGGAGCATCTCAGTAAAGATAAATCATGCCTGCCCTGGCCGCATAAATCCATCAGGAGTGACTGCCCAAAAAGTACCAGCCATGCCATTTCAGAGAACTTGAAGTCAAGCATGCTGATTTTGTCTGCTATCAAAATGTGAATGCTAAATTCCAGACGTAACTGAATTAAACAATACTCTTAGATAGTCATTAAGTACTTGTGTTTTGATTAAAATGCACTTGGAAAGCAGCATTTGTAGCCACTGCAGAAGTCTAATCGCTCTCTGGAAGTCAGCCTAACAATATGGACAGAGTAATTGGTCCCTACTCTGGTTCACTTCTCTCACTCCTTTTTTCTTTTTTTAAGCACAATACATCTGTGTGTGTGTGTGTGTGTGTGTAATTCAAATTAAACATCAACTTTGAAAGCAAAATATGAAAGTTACTATTCCTTGTCCCTGTGTACACACTTAATTACTTTACCAGAGGAAATTCCCTCAGCAGCTGATTTGTATTCTTCTGGTCATCCTTCCTCCCTTTCTGGAGGCATGAAATGTATATACCTAGTAACCCAATCACAATTGCCTTTATACAACTGTGATCATCTATTGCTCTATTATCTAAGTCCACTTTTTTCACTTATCAAACTGCCTTACCTAAAACTATCTGTTCTTCAGGGAAATAAACCAAAAATGCAAAGAATATTTTCACAGTTTTTTTAAAGATAAGAAAGGCAGTGTCATAATGTCTTATTAGTATATAGCTTAGAGATATTCTAACTTGTCTTCTTGTTACCTAACTTGCTTACCATATCTAGCAATTAACTTTTAGATGAGTATAAGAAAAAGCAAAGAATTACTCTACTAACAACAGTTCACTTTTTTTCATTCTTGCAAGAAAATAAACTTGTAATTCTCAAATTAAATTAGCCTTCTGTCAAGGCTAAGAATGGAGTAAAGAGCTACATGAAATCATTTTTCTACCATTTCTACACTATAACCAAGGCTTTTGTCAGACAGAGTAGTATATACTTTGATAGTGTAATTAAAAATTACGGCATTGCAAGCAGACTTCTCCATCATGCCAAAAATAAATGAACTTTCAAGATTGTGGTTCAACTTGATTTTTCACTGAATTGCAGTTTCCGTTATTTTAATCCCCTTTCCATAGGCTTTCCTATTTGAGTGTATAACTCAACAAACAGATTTCCTAGGGCAATTTCATAAAAATCACTGTCCACATTTTCCCAGGAAAGCATTTTTACATCACTAATAACAATAATTACACAAACTTATCATTTTTGTGATGCTACGTCCTTCAAAGAACTCAGACCTTAGAACACTTAGTTGACTATGATTATTATTCCTATTGTTTAGAGAAGGAAAGATTTAGGAAGGAAGAAATCAGACTTGAATTAGAATCTTCTGACTTTGAAACTCATGTTCTAGCTTTTCTGTGTCTTTGGTTCTTTTGGTTCATGCCACCTCCCACCTCATTCACTGTGAACAAAGCTCAATCAGTAATCTTTTGTGCTTTTTTTTGGAAGCATAGTAGACAATTTTCAGCAGAATCATTAAGTAGAGAAAGGAAAAGATTTTTTTGAATGTGTAAAATAGTTCTCTACAATCTTTGAAGCAGAATATATTTTTAAAAGTTATAATTTTTGTTAGCAAATTTTTAAAGTATATACTACTTATTAGTTTTACTTGTTCTTTGTAAACCAAGGTGAAAGCTATTATAATCACTTTATTAATCAAGAGTACTGTAAGTAGATATAAGAAATTTGTTTCAATTCAGAATTATTATCAGAAGAATGAAGAAGAAAGAATGAAAACTGTACTCTGAGGCTATAACAAAGATTTGGGGCTTCAAAGCTTTGCTACATAAGTTCATGTAAATTACATATGTATATATATATACATAGGTTTATATAAAATTTTCTTTCTGTCTTTATGATGGAACATGATAATGTTTCATGAGAAACATAACAAGAATGAAATGGATTATTTTGCATTCCAAAACAAAATAGGTGTCCTATACTAAACATACATAGTTTCATAGTATTAACTTAGTAATTGTCTTGTATTCCACATCTGATAAAATCTCTTTCAGTGTGTATGTAAGGAATAAACAAATAATTTGAGTTCAAGCAGAGTTATGAAGTCATGCTAAGGAAGATGGGGTTTGGATCACAAATAATTTATGATGGGCTATGTGTCAAGGGTGCTCGCCTGGAGAATGATGATGTTAACACTGCACTTCAGCAGTTGTATTTTATAGCAGGACTATTTTGATCCACTCATAGGTAAAAGACTGCAAAGCAAGACACAAATTTTTAAAGATCTTGGTTTTTATATCTAAAGGCTAATAGGCTTCTCTGCCTGGCTACCCACCAATGCTTATTTCCTCCCCTGAAACCCCACCTTCAGCTATTCGGCACTCAGGGCTTAACTTAAATGAGGGAAGTCTTCTGTGACTCTTTAAATCTGAATGAAGTTCCCATCCTCTGTGTATCCAACAAGCTCCCAGACTATTTCCATTATAGAAGTTGTCACCCCACATCCTAGTTACCTGGTTATCTACCTATCTTCATGTAGAATGTCAGATCCCTGAGGACAGGGGTTAGATCTCGTCATCTATGTATACTTGGTGTCTGGCACAGGAGTTCAGTAAAAGTTTTTGCAGGAGGGGGTAGACGAAATGAAAAAAGGACAGAGGAAGAGGACTCAGCTGTTGGATTTCAGTGTTTTTCCCCCATATCTGCATCCAGAAACAGAACTTATAAACCCTTTCTAAGTAAAAGTAATAAGTCCAGTTTACTTTTATTCTCTCGAGAAGTATAATCTTCTTTAAATTTGAAGGCAGTAATTAGTTATAATTTCACCAGTTATAGTTCTGCATTTCTCTGTGGATGGCATGAAAGGTTTATAAGTATTTAATATATGCCTTTTCCTAAGCCCTATCTTTAAGAGCATTTACTTAACAAAGTCACTAGTTATTGAATTTTATTGAAAACATAATATATGCACAGAGAAAACTAGATTTGTGGAAGAGAATTAACAAAATAAATAAAACAAAAATTCCCTAGTCCCCAAGAAATTTATGAGCATAAGTAGACTAGAAAAGGCAATATAATATTAAAACCCAAGAAATAGGGGCAGCATGAAAATAGTTACTCAGCTTCACATGTGCAAGAAATACCAGAAAGAATGAAATTTTGCTTATATTGTAGTGCTATTTCCATTATTTTGTTATTCACTTTAAACATGGTCGGGTGTGCCATGGTCATCCAAAATCTGAACAATAGTCTCTCCTATTAAAATTAAAACCTACCATCTCCTGTATTGTAGATACAACTTTTATCATCACTTAACCCAGATATTTAACAACTGGCATAGGCATAGGCATAATACTTGCTGCTTAATTTCCCCTTAGGAAGAGACTTCTTTAGAACTTAAGAAGCTGCATACTTATCATGTAGAATGTATAAATCTGTATAGAAGGTACATACACAAGCCATGAACTAGATTAATATATGAAGCTCTGACATCCAAGTGAAATGGGGCCTTAGAGAATTCGAATTAGAGCTAGATGAAGTCGTAAGGGTGATGTCCAAATAATGGAATGAGTGGACTTATAAGAAGAGACACACCCTCACCCCAGAGAGCTTTCCCTCTCTCCATGTAATGACATATAAGGCAGCTATCTATAAACCAGGAAGAAAACTATCACCAGATTCTGGCCCTGTTGGCATCCTGATCTGGGATACTAGCCTCCAGAATTGTGAAAAAATGAATTTCTGCTATTTAAGCTACCCAGTATATGTTACTTTGTTATATAGACTTGGTCACAT